CCCTTCCATTCTGCCGACTGAATTTTTTTGCTTCTTACCTATTTCAATTGTTTCCCTCCTTTTTTCATATTTGACTGATTTTTCTATTCATTGCTCCTACTACTAGCAAAGATTCACAGCAGTTCGTATGCGAATGCATCACTTGGCAAACTAGGTAAATAAATGAGAAAATTCTGTGGAGCGCAACAAAATGACCAGCATCTTCTCCTTTATGAGCACGTAGCGATAAGTATTTTGTACGATTTAGGTGCCAAATCGACGTCCAGAACACCGCTCACCTTCGGCGAGCTTCTCAAATCAGCAGTGGCGATACCAGATACCGTACAAGAAGGGCATAAGCCGAATACAAGTGTAATGTGTTTTGTTCTAATTGTTAAGAATGTTAATGTCGAATGTCATTCCCTTATCTTACTTAAGTCTACTGTTTCAGGCACCTGAGCCTCCAGCTGACCATTCTTTCACCTCAGGGAACTCTGTACCAAGAAGAAGAATTTGCTGTTCATTCATCACTTCATAGGTAAGTCCTCCGTCCTACGGTAATGACCTATGGGTGCACTCCGTCAAGTAGGAAACAAAGAAACAAATATTGGGGAAAGGCGAATACACTCAACATCACAGATGATCCGTTTCGCCCGTTATCGTAGACGAATCATCGATGTCTTACCAACCCCCGGGCTCTTCACACGATACAGTTGGCCGACGATGTGACATGGACTACATAGGGGAAGGATTCAAGAAAAAGGACAAAAGCGAGTAAAAAAATGTAAGACATGCAAAATCCATGCAATAAAGATGAGAAGGAATTGTACAAGGAAAATGAAAGAAGGATATAACCGGTGTGAGTACAAGATTGGTGTAAGAGGAAGAAAAATGGATTGTTGTAGATGGGCTAAACAAACTAAGGTAATATGAGTAAAAGACACTGTCGCAGCTGATTAACAAAAATAAGTTTGAAATCAGATGTTAGTGGTTAGAAGTGATGAGCTAGTGTTTAACAACGTGCCAATGAGAATACCTTTAACCAGTCCACTTGTCTTTCTATAGCTATTTGCAATAGAGTATTTGTAAGTTATGAATTTTATTTTGTAAAGTACATTGTCACGCAAAGATGCTAGTAATAATTTAAAAATCTTCTTGCGAGCCATTTTCGAAAGGGTCGTGACCACATCGTTATTTCTTGACGATATACATTGAAGCAAAGAACACGGTTGGTCGCTAAACCTCAAGCGTTTCGTACATATAACAGAGCTGGGTACGCGCGGTTGTTAATAAGGGAAATGTTTGTGTCACTGTGGGGAAATCTAATTACATTGAAGCTAAAATCATCCGTTTTATTATACAGCTTGGTATTAATTTTACCGTTAGTAATATTGATTGCTAAATCTAAATAATTGCTGGAAACTTCACTTTTATAGTTTTTTTTTCCAATTGAAGCGTATTTTGATAAACTTGAGAAAGGTTAATCAGTCCACGCATCACCCATTAGTTGTTTGGATTATGTACAACAAGCGAAATCATTCCTATATCTATATGGAATGAACAGCTTAGTTATTAAAGTTTTTGGATTTAGCATAGTAATACTCCATTACAGGAAGCGTAACATCTGCAAGTAGTGGACTAAAATTGCCACCTTCGCGGAACACCCTTTAGTTTGCTTTGAACGTATTATTTAGCAAACGTCAGTTCAAAAAACTGTTTCGTAAAAGATAGTCGATAAGGTATACTAAATCGCTGGATTTGTAATATCTGTAGTTGTTTTTAATTTCTTTACCATCTGTGTAGAAAACATGGTAACCATTAGTGGCAATAAAGGATTGTTGGCATTTTTGAATCAAATGTTAAGAAGTTCTTGCATTTTCTTTATAATGAGATCGTGTTCCAAATTTGTGAACATGTCGTAAAATCCGCAGTGTAAGTGTAAATTTTGGAGTTTTTGTTCGAATGTGATGCTGTGTAGTTCGTGACTTACATTAATACTACTAATAGACCAGTATGGCTTGATAATCCTGTTGTGATTCTGTATTACTTTAACGCAGTTAATAAAGTTAAAGTCAGTTTATCGTGAATGTTTTTGTTAGGACCAATTATTTAGACAAACATGGATCCAAAAAATGAAAAATTGTAGAAAAGCAAAATTTTGTCCTCGGTGGGATCCGAACCATCGACCTATTTTTTACGTTTTTTTTATTCGTAGCAAGAATTCGATTCGTAGATTCGCGCAGCGAAAATGAACCTCAGTTTTCTGGTCCTCGTATGTGCCCCTACAATATGCACAAGACCAAGCTCACCACGCCCTGAACGACCTCCCTTGTTAGAGCTCCTAAATCGGACATTAATCGATCACTATTGGTGGAAAAGGAGTTCGGAGCGTGCGTCAGTCCACCAGCTTCATACACCTGACGTGACGATGTCAACTATAATAACAGGTCTCTTATTTTTCCAAGCCATAAATATTTAATTGGCAGGGTGGATCAGTGGTTATGGGCTGCTGTTTACCACGCATTTGCATCCCGTAGGGTGGTCAACTCCTGGTCCCAACCAGAGCAATAAAAGAAATAAACCGAACGTTCTTTGCTTTGTGGCTTCTGAAAATAACGGTCCCTGTGCATTGCCCGAACCACCTCCTCCCATATCCTCGTTTGGTTTCCGCATTTTCCATCCTGCCCTGACCTACCACTTCGACGTTCTTTCCCTAATTTCTACCACTTTTCTCAGTTTTCGAAAATTTTTATGACATTACTAGAAACTCCCTGTCGAACGTTGGAGGTATAGGGGTTGGGAGGTTAATCACCAATCAACTTGTACATTTTCAGCCATCAAAATACTAGTTTGGTGCATTAATTTTCTGCTGCTCCAGAACGAGCGAGAAAATTATAAGCGGACGATAAAACGGAAGACTGAGAAAAGTCAGCAGCCGCGAAATATTTTCCCACAGCTCGGAAAAAAATTCTGAGGGGCAAGTGCGACCCCACTCCCCTGCAACCAAATACAACCCCCTCGTGTTATTCATCTAACGATGTAGCACCCTGCACGAAATGCATTGTAAAGGTCATACCTGTTTCAGGTGCTTTGAACAGTGAACTGATAACTCCTATGTATTTTTGAACCGTTGTTGCGTATTCGTCGCTGGCACAATAGATTTTTATTTCAGGCCCGCATCGGAAAACAAACCATCACCTCTAGGTCATCAAGAGTCGCCCGAGATTGGATCCATTGTCAAAGAGTATGATGACGAGCTTGTTCTAAAAATCCGTCTACCACCGACCGTCTGACACAGGTTGAGAAATAGAAACAGGCGACTTATGCCAAACACAAGATATGCTTAGTTTTTTTTCTAACACTATTAAACAGCTTCAGAAAGGTTCACCTTTGACCGGCTCAGAAAAACTTTATTGCTTTCATGAAGATGATTCGACACTCTTTTCTGAGTTCAATAAGTTTCAAATATCTTGCTTCCAATTCTTTGCAGCACTGAACCTCAACAGCTCCGATTTTGTTCTCCCACCGGAACCTGTGAGACTGTCACCTCGTTCGAATTTCGGCTTCAGGTAGCTTTTGAGTACTTCCTTCGTCGACTATTCTCATAAAGAACCTCCTTGCAGACCACATCCTTCTGCGTGGCAACCGCCTCCTGTTGGATTCACTCCAGTTGGGCCCAATTTCCCACTTCCGTCATATCCTTATTCTCCTCCGGTCCAGCATCAGTCGCAATTCTTTCCGAAAGTGACGCTGCCTCCACCAGGGATTTACGCTCCATTATCTCCTCAAGGTGTTCAGCCATACTTATCCTACTTACCTCCTGTTGGCGGCCCTGTGGGGAATCTCTATGGGCAGCCCTTAGCTCTACCGGATCTCATCACACTGCTAGGTAAGTATATTTTCCGGTTATGGCAGAACAGAAAACAATAGCTTTTTGTATTCGCGTGGTTCTTAGCTCGACTTTGTTGTTCTTGTTGGGCGTTTTTCCCCACCATCAGGAATATTACATTTGATGTAGAAGGAGCTGGAAACTTGGATTGCAAAGTTGTATCACCGCCAGGGCACGCGTACGTTGAGGACCCTTAGCAGGGGGTAGCTCTGATGGTTAGAGAGAAGGGCTCGCATTTGCTTCGAGTTGGTGACTTTTCTATGGTTTTTCTCGGGCTTTCCCGAAGGTTCTCCCTTGTGTGCTATCAGTACACCCCCCCACCTTGACGGCAGCTTTAAAGAGAACCAGAGAGTTCTTGAAATAGTCCGAAAAAGTTGTAGGGAGTGGAGGGTTTAGGAAGGCAGAACATAGGATAGAGGGTGAGGAGGTGTCCTACCAGGGCAGAAGGGGGGTAGTCTCATTTCGTTCCCTCCCCCCCCC